TCGAGTTGGTGTCTTGAGGTATTGATGCTTTGTTTGATCAAGTGGAGAATATGTTTTCATCACTTAATAACTTGGGTGATAGCACTGATAAAGGCAATGCGGGAAATGAAGGCATAGAGAATGTGGACCCTAACATTCTACGGGTGAGAGGTTTAAAAAGGAAAGACGGTGGTTACAAAGGTTGGGGGCGACTAAAACCTTGGTGTGAGAAGCAAACGAAAAGAAAGAAAGTAGGCCCATAACCCTCTCATGTGTCTAAGGTATTACACATCCAATATTGTATTTTATTTTACATTTGATGAAGATATGAATAATAATTTATGGATTACTTGTTTTTAAGGTATCAAAGCCATGATGTCCACATCCATTGTCTTCTCAAGCATCCAATAGTTCAGAAAATACTTTGCTATCTTATATTAACAAGGATTTTGAGTTACTTTTTCATGCATTGATTTTAATGCTATATTACCATTTTTCATTTTTTGTTTGTAGGATATGTCATTTGATGCAACAACATTGCATTCATTTGATTTCGTGAATGAAAGCTTCTATGATTTTTTCAAGGATGCCTGAAGAACAAGAGTGGCAAGGTGGAAGGGCCTTTACTCTGTTTTCAGACTATTTAATCTTGTTTCTATAACTTTTGGTTTGGTTCAATTCCCAAGTTGTCCTGTGATTGAGGATATTGTATGGGGTTGTTATTGTAATTAATGATATTGCAAGTTGGGATTGATAATTTTGATGGAAGATTTTGACTAATGATATTGTATTTTGGGGTTGTTCATTGTGGTTAAGGATACTTTATTCTCTAGCTATTTTTATTGCATTCTTTTTTTTTAAAGAAAATTTTATTAAAAGAATCTTAGATTACAAGAATCAAACAAACAAAAAAAAACTGCTTTACAAGAAAAAAAAAAAAAATTATGTTACAAGTAAAACAGAAAAAATCTATTACATAACAAAAATTTTGCTACCGAGAAAACAAAATATCTGTTAGTAAGAGCACATCTAAAACGCCTCAGTGTATCACAACAGCATTCTACAACAAAACAGCTCAAAATCATAGCATTACAACATCAGTGCATCACAGCAACAATACAGCAGAGTATTCCAGTAGTACTAAAGCAAGACATCAGCTCATCTCTCAGCACCCCACAATCAACCTTTTATCATAAAAAACCATCACTTTTTTGAACCTAGCAACTGGCAGACCAATCTGATCATGCACTAGAGCACTCCTCACAATAGCAGAAAAATCAAAAGTAAAGCCATCCTGATTTTTTATTGCAATCTGGTTTGCTGCCAAAGCCACCAAATCCACTTTGAAGACATACATGTTATACTATTTTTCTCCACTACCATCATCACTAAAAATACACATGTTGTACCATCAAACCCAAAAAGAATGTTTAAAAGACCATTTCCATAAATGAAAATGAATCATTGCATTACATACAACTCTTGATCTAGTTACATCATTTTAGCATTAGAACAATAACCAAAATAAGTAATAGCGGCAACTTTATAGCTTCTTCATTTGCCTCAATACATTGGAGTCGACCGTGAATTCCATCAATCCTTAATTGCTAATGCCATTGTGAGTCGACTAGGAGAGTTGATTATCACTTCTCCACTTGCTCCCCAACTCGACAAAGTCATTCTGTATCAATACAAAACATTAAGGGTTAACAAAGAAATCGACAATGATACAAGAAATTATTGAAAATTCAAAACCTAACAAAACTAAATATTATAGAAATCCTTTAAGAGAGTTAGATTCCCTGTGCAAAGAACATATTGAAAAAAAAAATCACAACTTGTGAGAGCTACTCATAGTTCATCACAATGAAAAACCAAATTTAAATTTAGATAATGAAAAATTATGTACCCAACAAAGTGCTTCAACAACACTCAAGCACACCCCAACAACCACATCAAACAAAAGAGGTAAGTTACAGTTAACTTTTTGTGCTAAGCAGGTATGAGGTTTTGACTGTTGGAAGTCTTCAATTGAGCCCTAGCGATGGCAAAATAAAAAATTGAGCAGATATGAACCTATAAAGAATTCACTGTGTGGGGTTATAGAAGACCGAATCTTGTTGTCCATTTGTGTAGAAGATTGAATCCAATTGTATATGTGTGTGTATAGAGAGGATGTCGTTGCCTGTGTGTGCAGAGGAGGTGCTGAATATTTTACTGTATTGAAGGATTTGGTGGGTATTGAAAATTTGGGATTTTTTTATTATGCAGGCTTTTATGGTGAGTCGTGGCTTTTTTAATGGAACGGTGTCGTTTTATAGAACAACATTGTGTGTTGTTCTTTGAAGAACAGCAGATGAGCTGAAGCCCTCGTTCTCTTTGTGTGTATGGTTGAGGTAAGAGAATACTCAAACAACTAATTTGTTTTCATTTCATTCGCTAATATTGCAGTGTTTGAGAATATGCATGACGTGTAGCTATGCCCGAGTTAACACGATTGAGTCGGTTGCTGGTACCGAGTCAACGCGAGTTATCTATGTGAGCTTTGTTTTCGTTGATATAATTTTACTGGGTTGACTATTTGACTCAATGGTAATTTGCAAATGTTTTTTATATTAGAAAAGTTCATATCTAGACATTTATTATGGTTTTGGTAGGGTAGATGAAAGAATAAAATGACATAAAGTTGGAGTAAGATACTTTATATTCTTGAAGATACGTATTTAGTAGGATGGATATAAAATATGAAGGATTCAATAGTAAGATGAAAAAAGTATAATACATATTTTCCATATATGAGATTAATATATACATAATATATAATAGATAAATAAGGTATATGCATATATTAAATGATATAAACATAAATAACATACATTTCAATACACATAATTTTCATTCTTCCTAATTTTCTTCTTTATCAACCAATCAAACATGATGCTTTAACTAATCTTTCAACTTTTTACAATTTTTTCATAATACTGAACAGAGCATTAGAGTTCTAAATGTTCACAGTTGAACCCTCCTAGAAAATGTTATGATGTTCTTATCATAATTGTAAACAAAATTTTCTATATCAAGGACAATATAGAAATATAGTTATTTTATGCGCCTGAAGGCACAGAGTAATAAAAAAAATGGTCAACAATAAACATATTTGTATTTATATCCAAAATCAAATTACAAAACTAGAGGAGAGAGAAACGAATTTAAACATCGATTGTAATTAGGGAGAGTAGTGGTGGTGGACGACATTAGTGGTGGTGGAAGACGGTGATGGGATGGTGGTGATGGCGGTGATGATGGTGGTGATGCTTGTTGTAGAAGAGGTGGTGGTAGGGGTGACAGTAGTGGTGGGGGTGGGGCGGTGGGGGTGATGGTGGTAGGGTGGCAGCAACAGTGATGATGGTAGCGGTGGGGCGATAGGAATGGTGGTAGTGATAGTGGTGGTGGGGCGACGGGTGTGGTAGTGGTGGTGGCATGATGACAGTGGTGGTGGTTGTTAAAGCTAAGGTTGTGGTGTGGTGGTGGCAGTGGTAATGGTAGGGTCGACCCAACAGTATAGAAAAAAAAAAAAAGCATGGGTTTTAAGTCCCATAATTTTAGGCACATTACTAGCCCACAAAAAAAATTAAATTCATTAAATTTTAAGCCTTAATAAAAACCCCAAAAAATTAAGTCCAAACAAAATTTTTATTGCAATAATTTGGGCCCATGATCCAATTTATAATATTAAAAAATTAGAAATTAAAAAAAAAAAAAAGATTTTTTAGGTGTGGGTACAATTTTTTAGACTTATTTGAGCAAAAGTATATAGATAAGTTGTTTACTCTATTAAGTACAATTTTTATAAAACTTTTTATGTTTAGGTACAAAATTCAAATAAATTAAAAACCTTTTACCTAAACACCTTCCCTTAAATTATGCATTCATCATTGGCAGTTATTTGAGGAAACAAATATGTAAATATTAACAATAGTAATGAGAGATAAAATAGGGACATTAATGATCAAAATCATTCTTCTTTGGCAACATGATTCTATAGCAATGTGATTTGATTAGAATGCCACAAATTATATGTAAATAAACACTAATTTTTCACACACACAAAAAAAAAGAGAGAATTAGCCAAGATGTTTTATTAGATATTATGTATTGTTCGTTGTTAGGATGTAGAGAAAAATGAACTTTTTTGTTTTTTTTAATGGGTGTAACTATTTTTTAATGGGTGTAACTATTTTTTTAATTGGTGTAATTATTTTTTAACGTGTATAACTATTTTTTTAAATGTGTGCGTAACTATTTTTTTAATGAGTATAACTACTTTTTAATGGGTATAACTATTTTTTTAATGTGTGTAACCAATTTTTAATTGATGTAACTAATTTTTTAATTGGTGTAACAATCACTATTTCATACAATTGTTGAGGCATGATAATGAAACGATACCACGATACTAAATAGTACAACTATTTAGTTTATGTAAATAACTGAATAACAAATTTGGTTAGTGTCATAATTTTGTATAACTGTTTAATTTATTAGAACGCATGAGTAACTGTTTTGTGAATTATAAGAAATTGTAACTAATTGATGTAACTGATTAGTATAATTGTGTTGTTGTAATGTTAATATAAATAGAGTAAGAGAAAATAGGGATAAAGAGAAACTGTTGGAGAAAATATGTCTCTATTTTATCTCTCATTGCTTGATTGTAGCCAAAATATATGGAAGGAATACAAAGGGTTTCAACCGATCAACTATTTACTGAATGGCAATATTGTTATTTTTTAAAAATATGTATTTTAACTCAAATAAGATTTTGTATTGTATTTTTGGTCAAATAAGTCTAAAAAATTGTACCGGCTTCCAAATCACCCTTGAAAAAATAAAATACTTAAAAGTCAACTCATATTTATTTTCATTCACTCTCTCTCCGGTAAAAAAATTAAAATTAAATACACTATCTCATTTAATATTTTCGTTTTATGCCTCAAATTGCCTTGAATCATCACTGGATAATGGTGGTGATGGTGATGGTGATGGTAGTGGTAGTGGTGATGGTGATGGTGATGGTAGTGATAGTGGTGGGGGGGGGGGGGGGTTAGTTGTGGTGGTGGGGTGACGGTGGTGGGGCGGTGGGGGTGGTGGTGTAGTAGTTCAAAATACACTTCTTTTTTTTAAAGTACTTATGAAAAGTTATAAATCTTACAAATATTTTTAAAAAGTTACCCCAAACACACCTCTATTTTTCCTATCAAATTTGGGATGTTAATATTAGCCGTCGATTAACTTTAAAGTAAAATTTAATGAGATCTCAACCGCGAAAAGTAAAAATATTTTATTTATCTATTAAATTTGAATGTATTGTACTTTATTATATAGATTATAAGATTGTGCTATTGATTATATGAATGCATGATATAATTCAACTTCTCCAATATTATTTATATGCCAATATTTCTTTCTTTTTCGAAAGTGCGGCTTAATGTGTTCTGATAAAATTTGTATCTTTGGCAAGTTACCAGCTCAACTTTTTATATCCGATTCTGCACAACCGTCTTTTGGTTTTAAATTGCCAAGTTATCCAGATGGGCAGCAGCTCGGGTGAAGAATCCGATTTGAGCGAATTGGAGATCAACGAATACAAAGAGAAACCTTATGAGGAATTGAGGAGTGGAAGATACAAAGTAAAGGGTCCAAATGGGACCCTTAGGTGCCCTTTCTGCGCTGGAAAGAAGAAACATGATTACAAGTCCAAGGGTCTTTATGCTCATGCTTCAGGAGTAGGTAAAGATTCCTTCAACAGAAGTGCAAAACAGAAGGCAAACCATCTAGCACTAGCCACTAGCAATGTTCTTGGAGAATGATCTTTCAAACGAGGCAGAGCCACAACGGCAGCGTGTGGTTGCATCAGCTCCAGCAGAGCAAAACTCTGAGTACAATGATCTTTATGTGTGGCCTTGGACAGGGATTTTTGTCAATATAGTAAATGAGCCAAAGAATTGGGAAGCTGTGGGTAGCGAAGGATACTGGTTGGCTAAGTTTTCGAAATATAAGCCTTCAGGAATTGAGATTTTCTTGGATGATCAGGGGCTAGTTGCACAAGCTGTAGTCAAATTTGATAATGATTGGACTGGTTTCAAGAACGCTATGGAATTTGAAAAGTTTTTTGAAACTGAGCACCACAGTAAGAAGGAGTGGAATGTTGAGGAAAGTCATCATAATTCAAACATCTATGGCTGGATTGCTCGTGAGGATGACTATAATTCAGAAGGGCCAGTGGGAGATTATCTTCGTAGAAAAGGAGTTTTGAAAACAATCCCCAACCTTGTCCAGGAAGCAACACAGCACAAAAACTATATTGTGGCCAACCGAGCAAATGAAATTGACATGAAAACCGAAAATTTGGATGAGTTACAGATTAAGTACAATGAGAAATTTTGTCTCTTAGTAGGATGCTTCGAGCGAAAGACATACTACACAGTGCTTTCTGCGAAGGTTCCCTCTCCCCCTTTTCCTCTCCTCTTGTTCTGTGTGTGCCTATG